AACAGCGGAAGTTTAAAGTAGTTAATTAATAAACATATGGGAATTTATCCTCCAATTTATCAATACCATTCATTAAATCCTAGATCCCGATGCTCACTGAGGTAGAGGTTTGTGTACAAAGAGGAAATGCTATTATAAAATTCATATAAACATTGGCAAACTTATTTCCAATCAAAGGTGGTTCGTTATCTTTTAGTCTTGAGATGGGTATAAGGTCTTTATTTTTATGGTGAATTTATAGTGAAACTCGCAGCCCTATATATGATAGCTTTATTGACGCTAATTGGCAAACAGTGTTAGCAAAACAAAACCTAAAACGGATGTGTTTTTTTCTCTTCTTTTTTTCCAGAATCATCCTTATCCACTTTCGTCCTCTTGCCTCCTCTTCCAGCACTTCACTCCTGCTTCCTCTTAGCCTTTCCACTTCTGTGCATTCCCATAGCACATTTTCTCCACTTCTGCTTTCCTCAGCCCTCATTTCCGCATCTGAACCTCGCCATTAGGTACCTTTTCTTCCCCCCATTATGTATTTCGGCAACCACTCCCTTATTAGTGCCCTGTACCTACTGTTTCCTCGTGAGTTCTCTATCTCCACCCTCTGTGTTACTGTACTTGTGCATCAATGGCCCCTTTTTTGTGATTTTCCCACTTTCCCCTATGTTTCTCCCCCTTTCGACCTCAGTTGCCCGTATCTATTTTAATCGTAATAAGTTTAGCTTCCTAGCTGGCTATTGAGATTACCGTTTTTTGTACATGTCAAAATTTTATGAAATGCCGTTAATGCCTTCTTTGTCTTCCTCCCACCATTGCAGCAAACAGGTAATTTCTTCTTCTAAAGTCTTTTTTTTAACTTCTATTTCCTGTCTCCCGCCTGTCTCATCGTCACTTCACCATTTTCTCTTCTACATTCGATCGTTCCCCTCCCTTTACTGAATCCCTCCCACATCCTCTTCTTGTATTTTTCTTTCTAACCTTTCGCATAAATTCTGTACGTAGTCGTAATTCCCTTATAATTTTCCATAGAAGCCTCGTCGCTTCTTTTGAAAATCGGGACTATTCCATTCTTTAGGTAGTCCCCCTCCTTTTCCATATCTTTGTTAATACCTCATCTTTCCTTGATCCTATCAATGGTTCACCGATTGTCTTTTTGTCCGTGAGTGAGTTTGCAGAACCAATTTTGCACAAACCTTTGTCATGATTAATTCATCGTGCACAATTGGGCTCGCTATCTGTATGTGTGTCGGTACTATTATTTGAACGCTCAATCGGTCTTTCCGCACAATATCTTCTATTTTCTGGACGTTTCCTGCAATTTTTGCAGTTACAGTGACGTTAACCAGTTCTGGGGCCTTCAGCATTGGCATCAAACACCTTTAACATTTGCAAATATTTCGGTGGTGATTTCGGGTTAATACCCTCCTCTAGTGATGGTTTGTTCGTCTGTCTGTCCGTCTGTTCCTCGCCTAACTCGAGAACGAAAAGAGATAGCGATGTCAAACTTTAGCCAATTGATTTGTACGAGTTCAAGAATCCGTGCTATAGAATATGAGCCAGATGGCAAAAAATTCACCTACTGAAAATCGTATGCGATTCTTAGTAACTTGTTTGTGACCGCATCCATTGCAACCAGATCTCAAAAGCTATCTAAAACATGGAATAGCGATACAAAAAGTGATTGTTCTGGAAAAATCAAGGTCACCTAGATTCCAATAACAATCTAATATGGCCAAGGGGTAGAAGGTGGGCAGTTTATGAATTTAGTCGCTGGACAGTCCAAGGCTAGGAACAAAAGAGATGAGAACAAAATAGCTTATGTCTGACTACGATAAGGGTATTGCCTTAGGGCCAAGAAAGATCACAAGTAAAGGATGCGGAGGCGAATCAGAAGGAAGCAGCCAGGATTGTTCTTCACTAAACCGATGCTTGATTAAAACAAACACAAATGTCTAAAGTGCGGCAGTAATGAGAATTTCGCCACATAATCACGAATAGGTTTAAAATGCTTTTAATATTTGCGTTCCAATTTGTATAATATGTTAATTGATTTGGCACAATGAAAGTATATGTTTTATACGGTAAACACGAACACCTATGGGGGCTATGGGTATACAAATAGAAAATTTAACAATGATCAATCAATTAGGTGAACGGATAGATACCCACGTTCAAAATAAATACCTTGAAAACTACCTGAGTTGAGTATTGATAGAAAGTAAGAGCAAATTTACTTTTCACAGTAATTAAAGTGAAGTGATTGACATGATGTAACAACCGATTTATTATGTGCACCAAATACTTTCCACAAATTGAATTGTGGATACTAGAAGTAAAATTAGCAAAATTTTGACATGGTTTGTTTTTATGTCGGCGCTCATTTCGAGAAACCCCGATAAAGTGATCATATCTACATGATAGTCCACCGTTGCATCCAAAAAAAGGAGTCCAATTTAAATATTCTGTATAAAAAATGTAACTAATTTAAATAATCTAGAGAGAAACAGAATGAAAAAACATGTAACAATATACCTACTCACTTATAGTGTTCGTTCTATTGCCATAATGAATATTAATGCCGTGGCCTTCGCGCGGTTATCTGAAGGTCGCAATCTTCCTTCTATTCATCAACCCTAACAAGTCTCACTTTTGTGCATAAGGATTCCAGTCAGTTAGTATTTTTACTAGGAAAATTTTGAGGTGGATACTTTTGATTTCTCCTTTTCTATTTTTTTAGATGTTGAATCCGAATCTTATATTTTATACTGACTTTATTGTTAACTCCCTCCCCTTTAACTGAATCTATTTCATCTCTTCTTGATATAGTACTATAAAGGACCCCTCAGTGAATAGAAAACACTCATAATCATGGGCTCGTAAAACTTACACTGGCATTTGTATCAATCACCGTATAATGTATCCGTTAGGGTTTATAGTTATTTTTCGTTAGTTTTTAAGGAAATTTTTCGATAGAAATTCCCATTATGTGGTGGTTTTATCGAATCGCCTATTCTTCGTCAGCAGTATGGTGTTGTCGTTCGGTTTCGGGAGTGGTTCGTTAAAAAAATCTCCGTGCAGAAGGACCTGATTGTAAGTGGACGCGTTTGAAAATTCTGTGCTGATGAAAAATTGGTTTTTATCGAGGCGCCCGTTTGGTTTGGTTTACGGAAAATAATTGGGATGCCGCTTGGCGGGATTTAATCAATTGCTATTTCATCAATATACGTCGATTGGTACAACGCGGCACGTTTGGCCGGAGAGATTACATATAATTCGTGTTCATCTCCCTTAATTTTACTAATCCGCTTGTTAAAAAGATGAGTCCCTTTCTGATATAGCTGTTGTTTGTGTCGATGGTATGTCTTGGGGTGCATTTTAGCGGAAAAAACCGTTACAAATTCAACAAATAGCTAAGTCAAAATGGCGTCAACAGCTTCATAAAGATACAAGGTTACTGCAATGGCAGAATATATGAATGGACCTTACTTTCTGGACGTCCTATGTGTTATATCCTTGACTTCAACGATTTCCCTGTTATAACTAATTATTTCCTACAAATTTGACCGTTTAATTTTTTTCAGAGAAACTCAATCTCGCCGGTGGTTAAATTTTGAATTGAGACACAAACTAAAACTTCTTCCGTTTTCACATCATTTTTTTAGAAGGCACTTTATCGAAAAAAGAAAATTTTGTTCAATTTTATAATGATCCTGTATTTTCTTAGTTAAAAGATATTTTGAAAAATGTTTATTACAAAAGTTTCTTTGTAATCATTTTTGAATAATCTACCGTTTTAAAAATAAGTATACTGGATCAGGTAAAATAGTTATCGGACCTAACCTCATTTTTTTATTAGAACATCCCGTATATTTTATTCTAAAAAATGGCATATTAAATTCTCTTTTCAAAAATGTACTTAACGCTAAAAATTCAAAATGGGTTCAGAAAGTTTCAACATTTTTGGAATTTTTTTGTATTTTTTTAAATCATTTGAACTTTGATAGCACTAAAGATTACGAAGATACCCTATAAAAGTGTCGAAAATGGGACACTCTGTACGTTGTTATTTATTTTTTTAATGGTCTACAGTCGACACTCTAGAATTACTCCAGAATGTATAGTTGTGCATCTTCATGCAACTACAAAAATAATGATTTAAACATTTTATTTAGGATTATAGATATGTATACTGCGTATTTTTTGTTTTATTTTTGGTATTTTGTGGCATTTAATTGGATACTTAAGTGTAATTAAGAGGAATTAACTGTATGTAATGAGATTTAAATGTTTTTAATGAAGTTTAATTAAAAGGATTTAAGCGTATTTAATGGAATTTAACGTATTTATAGGATTTAAAATTTGATACGCGGGTACACATATTCATTTAAGGAGTGTCCTACCAGTAGCAAACTTTTTATCATTTTGAAAACAATAAAAAGCTTCTTTTTAAATATGATGTTTTGAAGATACTGTATTCAGTGTTCCATACAAAATGTTTACCCTGTATATCACAATAGAAATTCAAATTTTCACTTAGAAGTCCAAGCTTTGGGGCTAATTTCTACTTATAAGTCGAGGGATTTGAAGTTATACCTAATAATTCAAAGTTTATAATAAAATTTTCGAATTACCAGTCCCAAAGCGAAGGTGTGGGGCTAAAATTACGAACCATAACTCAAAGATAGAAAAACATAGAATGGGCATTTGTCAATTCTATATTTTTCGATGTTATTTTACCCTCCAAGGTTTCGTTTTTTTATTTTAATTATTTTGTGAACTTGAAATTTTGTAATAAGTACCACATTTTTATTTGTTTTTGTGTACCATGTGGACTCTATTACTTGAAATTTATCTTCAATGGTGTATTTAATATGCAAGGCGAACAGACGAAGTTCAGGTTCAGGGGTGAAGATCGTTTAATCCTCGTAATATTTTCCCTTTTCACTACATATTTCCAATTGATGAATAACAATGACAATACATAAATTTAGTACAAAAGTACTTACTTGAAATAGCATGTAACCACTTTCATACATCCAAAAGTCACCAGGATCACCCTGACAACCTTCTTTGCGCACGATGATAGCCAAACACCGGCGCAACATTACTCGACACTCCGGCCTATTTATGCTCATCGTCAGGTAATCATCCTGAAACAGAAAAAGAAATGAAACCAAAACTGAAATATAAATATAAAATACAAGTAAGACACACACGTCATTATAAGAGACACCATGTCCCCATGACAGACGATGGTAATCAACCCAAGCAGTTAATTGACGCTTCAATGCATCTCTTAATATGTAAAATATTCCAAAAAGGAAGAGAAACTACGCACACGCGGTTCAATTTAAAGTCTTAATGAAATTCGCCAAAGCGTACATTATTGTCTTAAGGTTCAGAGGTTACAAATCGAAAACATCCGCGTTGCATCGTCATCCACAAACTGTTAGGAAAATATGTAAAAATTTCAACCGATCTATAAATCATCGTCGTATTCACTGTACCTGTCACTTTTTAGTGCAACGACTTTTTTACTCAATATAAATTGGTGTCAAGCGTAACAGGACAGACCATTAAGTATAATTTTATTAGGAGAAAATCGATTGCAAATACGTAATTGCTCATAATAAGAATTGGCAAATTTTTCCTAACTTCACTCAGATTACAATTACTAATTAAAAAAATCGTGCGAGATATAAATCATTTTCTTTCGTCCGTACGTATCACTTAAAGTCTATTAAAAAGTCATATATTTTAATATTTTGATTTAATTGCTAATCAAATTTTAAGCTTCCTCTGATGCTTTCAAATCAAATTTACTTACAGTTAACATGATAATAAAACTCGAGCCTCACTACACATTTCCGGTCATTTGGTATAAATCATTATAAGTAGATGTATAAATTTTAATTGCTTAGCTTTTAAGTTGGATCGCTTTTGACGGTTCAAAGTTTTTGAAGATTGATTATAAAAGTGAGATTAGCGAGATGAGTTTTCTATTGCAATTTAAATTCCAGGTGAAATTAAGTAGCGGCAGGTGCAAGAAGAATTGGTAAACTTGGAATTGGACGGCATGCAGAAATGGTAATTAAGAATCTTCAAATGTAGGATTCAGCTTTTAGATGCGTGAGACTGATCAATGTGCATAGCAGAATTCGGAATCTGAAGAAAGTGCAGAATATTTGAAAAGTTTGCTCATTTTGATGAGACCCGAAAACCCATTTGTATGTGGTATGTCACGATGAACTGCGCCAATTTATATCTGACCGAATAAAAGAATTCAATGTGTTTTTTCGTAATCCACACAAAAATATGATATGACCAAAGTAGCTTCAAAGGTTGACCATTTTCACACACGTTTTGCTATAGAGAAAACAGAAAAAGACTATGACAGTAGGTAAATCACTCGGTAAATCACGCACCATTCTAAACTTTACGTTTATGAGTGTACATAAAATATACTTGTAATTTCGACTGGTGAAAAGGTATTTATAATTAAGACAAGCAGTGCCATTTCTTACTCGCTAGGGTGGATTTGCTCAATGAAAAACAATTGATTGCTCGTTCGTCAAAGAAGGAGGCGCTTTTTATTCTTATGACATAGGTAATACGAGTATAGTACGAATCTGTCAAAGAAGTAAAAGTCGAGCAATTACTGCAATAGATGTTTAGTATAGGTACTTCAAAAGAATAAAAAGCTTGATTTCATACATTTATTGCAGAGTAGGAAGACAATGTAGTTGAACTACAGACTGTTATACATCCAATGCATGTTCTTTAATTAGACACTACAAAATTGGCATTTATAAGTACGCTCAAGATTCCCGGTCCTACTTGAACATTACAGAATTTCAACCGTGCGAATAAATAAATCATGCTAGTGTAAAATGCGGGTATTATTATAAGCGGGATAATTAAAGTATATGCAAAAAAATAGTGATAATAGTTATTTACATAAAAGTCAGGAAAATGACACATTACTGGCGAGAAAATATTGAAGTAAGAGAGCCCTTTGGGACCGAGTATTTTAATTTCCGAGTCAAGTAGTGTCACTTTACTGACGAGTTTTGTATTAAATTTTACCATAAATCGCATATAAAATTTAAATATTCACATAGAACTTTTGATTAATGTCAGTGATGACAGATGTCATTAGTCATTACAGACATTTAGCACAGCCGTCTATAATTACAAGCCATGCTGAGAAGTTTGGCAACGTTGTCCGAAAGTCAATCAGTGGGCCGATGTAAGTTTTAATGGCGTTTTGTTGCTCTTGAAAAATTGCATCTTTCCTCTCTCCTGTGTTTCGCCTTGGTGGTTTTAATACAGAAGAAAGATACTTAGGCAGCTTACAATTGTACATATTTTATTCATTTACAAAAATGGATAATAACATTTTTATTTGACTTTAAATTTCGAAACGCTGTAAATCGGTAACTGCATCATAATGTGTTTTCCATCGAGATCTCCGAAATTAGTGAACTTCTTACGAAAGAGGTCCAGGTGAAGCACACGTTTGAGCACTTAATTTCGGCAAAAGGATAGTAAATCGCTGTGTATCAGAGAGGTTTTATCAACGACCAGGTGCGATTCGGAATGGCAGATTTTAAGCCAGTCGCTACTCCAGTGGGGCTAGGTAGGAAGCTTTTAAAGTGGGGAGCCCCGTAGACTTCAAATTCCCGTACCGTGAACTCCTGGGAATAAGTCGGAAGGTTCCTTCATAAAATCGACTTCACATGTCCGTGCTAGAATACCTGAAATACAAACTAATTGAGTTTTTTCACAATAAACACTTACCGTACTTACGTACCACGTGCTGTGTAGGTCATATTTGAGCTTGTACAGGTACTTTAAACAAATACAAGTGCTTGTAAAGGGTCCAGTAACGAGTAGCCTGTTTTAGAGGTTATGACAACAAATCGATATATTTCGTTTAGCAACTTACCTGAATAATAATTTCTGTTCATTCCGTACGGAGTAACACAAATTGTTGCAATCTCGTTCTATTAAAACAGGTAAATAGGAATATTACACCCAAAACACATATAAAATACACCTGAAATCTGTCAAGTTGAATTAGGAAATCGGCCTACCATGCAGTGTTGCCATAATTCTCAGCACGGCTTGTAATTATAGACGGCTGTGCATTTAGCTTAGCAATGTGACAGATGCGGCCGGAAAAGTGAGAGATGCGGGGCCGCCAAAGTGTAAATGCGGCCGGTGACAGGCGACAGGAAAAGTAGTCTGGCCTGCCTCTGTCATGAAATAGTTATTTACGTTATAAGTCCGGTAGGTTACTTGTAACAGTACGAGTTAGACATTATGGACGAGGCGACGTCAGGAGCCGAGTCAAGAATGTCTTAAACGAGTACTGTTACAAGTACTACCGCACGTATATCGTAACGTATTTTATTTCATACTGTAAGTCTGTTTTGTATCATTATTTCATTTCAAAGATTACAAAATTTCATCATATTGTAAAAATCGCATTACCTTGTTTCTGTGGCAACGGCCGTTGCTATAGTTTGTAGTTTGTTGACAATTGAATTTTTTCACTGAAAAATTGACGTTATAAACGTTGTGGGATGTTCCACTTTTCCCGATACAATCCTGTCGAAATCTCATGAAGCAACCGAAAAGTTGGTTCCTAAGAAGTCGGCCGCAAGGTATGAAAAAGAGTACTAAGTGTTTTGCCAATTGAGCAACGAACATGGGGCGAAACAAGTAGAGGAAAAAGTCATGTTGGCATACTTTTTGGACGCAGTAAGTTTTTGAATTGAGATTTGTTTGCCTGGGTTTCGGTGTTAAAGTGTCATGGAGCATGGAAAAGCTCATCGACGGCAGAAAAATACATCGAAGGCTCGGTAGAAGAAAAAGTTAAGATTGCCCGTATGATACAACTGATACAAGGCGGCGAACATTTCATTGAAGTTCTACAGCAGAAGGAATCAAACATTACTAACTCGACGTACAGTAATAACCCAGGCGTAGTGTTGAGGGCAATACAAATTGTTTCATTACAATCAATGTTAATGTTTGAAATAAAGAATTACAGCCAAATTTATGTTGGGGTTTTTAATTAATTGTGTGAAGATGTCAAATTTGATGTATACAAATAACAGTCCGGTAAGTGTTGCTTAGCGACACTTACCGGCTCTGATGCTGTAATAACTCACCCTACCGGACTCAAAATGATAGTGTAATCGAACATCTACCGGACAGTATGAAATAAACTAAATTTTCCTGACATAAAGTCGACATTAAAATGAAGGTTTCATGACGGTTTTGGGTACAGTGGATTATTAGTGAAAGGGAACCTATGCTTGTGTTGTGACATTACCTACCTCCGCGAATATATTTGGTTCAATCACATACCATCAGACGCGGAAGATGAAATACATACAAGCCAAGAATAATTGCAGCAAAATGATAAAGGTGCAGTTCGCAACAACTGCAGCTCCCTATTCGGCAAGCAATCGAGTCAAATGTAGTCAACAGTTAAAATTGAAGACAAAATTACGTTGATGAAAAAGCGAAATGGTTTCCAACAATTCTAATGGGAAAATATCTCTTTCAGAAATAAAGTAGGAGAATGGAGTAGAGAAATTTGAAGAAAGTGAAGAAACGAGGTAACGAAAGGTGTGTAAAAAAAGCGCGAAAGGGGTGGAAAACGGAACGAAGTAGACGAACAGATAGACTTGAATTGAAGGACACATTAAAGAGGGGAGCAGAAGAAATCGAAAGAACGTAAAGGAGTTCACTTATGTGCAGTGTGATTTTTAAATGGAACACCCTGTATATATCTTAACGACAATTTTTTTGCATTGTTTCCTGATTACATTTATGTATCACAACTTATTTTTTTTTTAATTTTACTCATAAACCAAATCAAAAAATAACAATCTTATTTTCTACGGGTTTTAAGTAGTAGGCCATGGATTCATGGAGATTTTGTTTCTACGTAAAAGTATCTAAAATAGATATTTTACATTTGTTTATCATACGTGGGTAGAGTGATGTGTGAGATAAGATAACATCCCAAAAATGCAAACTTTTCATTTTCACCCTGTACCACAGAAACAAACGTAGCTAGATTGATTCCGTGTGCGATATTAAAAGTTTCACAAACAGGTGGCATAGGGTGCAA